ATAACTCGTGGCAAACGTACGAGTCGCGTGAAAGCGGCCTTTCCGACTGAAAGCTTCTGTGCGACCTTGAATCGGGTCACGCGTCAACCCCCCTTTACTATTCGCGTGGGGCAGAGTGTATCTTGGAGGATTTTCATGGTGACAGTGCTCGGGTATATTATATATAGATATATAACAGTGATACGACAGTGGGTTGCAGCAGCAGTGCTATAGCACAGTGCCCACCAACCCCCGGGTGGAGGTCAGCCGTCTACTCGGGCGTATCGTTGCATTTTACAAGACGATAAAGCCAAAGGCAAATCCACGTGGGACCTAAGGGTAGGCATCGTGGATAACGTTACCGACCTCTTTCGATAATATCCGACGTATTACGTAACAGCTGCGCCGGATGCATTAGGAATTCGTGCCTGTATGAACCTGCCTAGAAACAGAGGATCATGGGTAATTGAGGAACTTTCAGGATTAATATTAACGGTGGCAAAAGTTGGCTGTCCTGGTTAACCCTGGCTGTCTCGTATATCGTTGGCGCGTATCTGGTAACTTTACGGATACTCTTTTCTCTCTCTCTCTCTCTCTCTCTCTCTCTAACCATATCCTCTGTACGACGTCCTTCCTCTTTCGCTCGGTTTTATCGAAGCGTTCTAACGTGTCTCGCGCTATGTCAGAAACGAATATTTGCCAAGCAGCAGCGTAGTGTTTTTTTTTTTTTTTTTTTTTCTTTCCTTCGCCGCCTTCCTTCGTTTCCGCGCCTTTCATTGTTGCTCGTTGGACTTTCGAAAATAAGAATACGACGAAACGGCGACGACGGAAGGAAAGCGGCGAAGGAGGCGACTGAAAGTTTTGAGCTGCTCGTTATAGGTCGAAGCGCAGTGGGTGGGTGGTAGTCGGCGAGAAGGTCGAAAGGAGGAGGATAAGAAAAAGAGTGAGAGAGGGAGAGGGAGCGAGGGCACGGGGCACAGGAGAAACGAAGAAAGAAGGGCACGCGGAATGCGGTACTGTTATGTCTTACGGTACAGACAGGACGGAAATTAGGACTACGTTGTCGGGCGCGAGGAGGAGATCCCTTCCCGGATTCTCGCTTTCTCGGAAAGGCCTTTCCACCGATTGCCTTCCTTTCTTTTTCCTCTCTCTTCCCTTTCTCGGACACTCTCTCACGGTCCGTATAGAAGGTAGCTCTGATATATATGCATATATATACCAGCGTCGCGCACGTGCAATCCATATCGGCGTATATATATATATATATATATATATATACACACGCGATATGCCAATGTGCGTCGCGCGATCTCGACTTCCTCCGCTTCGCCTTTCTCCGAGCTGGTTTCGAAATTCGAATCGCGAGATGCGAGAGCGAACCGCAGCGATGGATCCCGATTAGGTGAGAAAATTCGAATGAGAGTCGAGCGACCCTTTTTCATATTTTCTTTTTTATCATTCTTCGACATCCCCCCTCGCCATTTCTAACTCTTGCTAAGTTAACGTTCACTGATACGGCTCGCTTCGAAAGCATCCCTCGTGCATACAGAGGAGATGGATAGTGAAGGGGGAGCGAGAACGACGGAAGATGCTGCAGAGGGAGTTGCCGAAGGAAAAATTTAGGTTTTATTTTTTTTTTTTTTCTTTTTTTCTAAAATCCCTAGTAAATTCCACCCTCGACGCTACCAGCCTCGTTTCTTATCTGGCTCTCCCTCTCTGTCTCCTCGGTCCTTCTCGTTCGCCAAGGCCGAACTCGGCAGGGTCGGTCGAAAGAGAGTCCGAGAAGAAGGTCGATAACGTTGGAAAAACGTAAAAAGCGCGAGGGGAAGGAAAGAGGGATGTAGGAGGAGGTGGCGGAAAGTGGGTGGGGGTGGAAGAAAAAACGTGCTAGTGTTGGTGTCTCTGCCGTGTGCTGTATACAGTGTGTGGAGACCGTGAAGAAAAGGGAGCCGGGAGAAAATAGCGTCTTCGTCGGGTCGAGGGACGGTTAGAGCCGAGTAAATGGAAGTTCGGAGAGAAGAGGAGCCTCTGGTAGAACGGATGAGAGGAGGGTGGCTCGGGGAGGGGGTGTAAGGAGGGAGAGAGGAAAGCAGGCTCCGAGGAATAAAGAGCACCCGAGAAAAAGGTAGAAAGCCCGAGAGAAGGAGGAGGAGGAGGAGGTGGAGGAGGTGGAGGGACTGCCTCAATGGTACGAGGAGGAGAGGCGTGGAAAGGAGAGAGGACGGAAGACGAGAAGAACCAAGTGAGAGAGAGAGAAGGACAGAGGCATATGGTAGGAGCTAGAGAGAGAGAGAGAGAGAGAGAGAGAGAGAGAGAGAGAGAGCCAGAAGATAGATAGACGGGGGAATTGAAAAAACGCAAAGAAAAATTGAGATGAATCGTAGAGGGAAAAGAAGTCTGGTGGATGGACATGGGGAGGGGGGGGGTGGCAGAGGGGTGACGCCAGAGAGGGGGGTTAAGCGAAGAAAAGATGGAAACGTATTTCGAAAGGGGAAAAAGATGAGAGAGAGAGAGAGAGAGAGATCGACGCCCGACGTCGACGTCTTCGTCGTGGTGGTAGTTAGGTAGTCCCTTTGGATGCCAGCAGTAAAAACGAGAATGAAAGGAAGAACGAGTGCACACGTGAAATTGCAATACTTTTTCCTTCCTTCCTTCTCGCGATCCTTACCTTCAATGCCTCCTTGCGAATGCCCTGAAGTCGTCGACGAACAGGTAACCATAAATCATGCTTGGTTGACTGTCGCCAATACGTTCGGGCCGCGTCCTTCGTGAGGGATAATGGGGATTCTTGGTATATCGAATATCGCAGGTTACTTTTGCTAGAAGCTAAAAATCACGGGACGACAATAGATCGGGCGTTTTGAACGTGGCGAAAGATCGATCGTGCCGCGAAAGCGTATCGATCGTTCCGATTGGACGCGGGCAGCGAGTAACGCAGATCGATAAGCCCTGAAGCGGCTCACCAGGCGTGTATATATATATATATATATATATATATATATATATATATATGTTACTGTATATACGTATATACTGGATCCTTACTTTTGCACGGGGTAACCTCGTACCCCAGCTTATAAAACACTAGGATGATATGCACACCTGCACTTCTGCTACGTTCAACGATATCCTTTTTTTTTCTATTTCTCAGGTGTAACCATCTCACTCGGTACTTTCGTGTCGATAGGCCTCGCGAGAAGGAATCGTAGCTCGATTGGTAAAGCGACGAGCTTGGTTATCCGAGTGCAGAAAGAGCATGTGCAATAAGATCGGAGCTAACGATCGTCCTCGTCGGTTATCCCTCGCGCGTCCGTTATCACGCACTATCAGCGTCATCAGTCGAGAGTATAGGTAACCCAATTTCAAGATACGAAGTAGCTCTGACGAAGAGTCGGCTGCACGCGGGGCTACGAAAGGATTGGTAAATGCGTTATAGGCGCTTATGAGAGACGGACGGGTAAAGGGAGACAGGATAGACAGACCAGGGGCAGACCAGGCAGGCAACCAAGCAAGCAAGAAAGGAAGGCACTGTCGGCGGGTAACCTGAAAGGTTGGCAGGCTGGCTGGGGCAAGAAAGCTGCTTCTATGAAGGCAGGTAAAAGTAGGTAAAGTAGGTAGAGAAGGAGAGTCAAGCGGATGGAGAGACACGAGGCAGAATCGGAGAAGAGAGAGAGAGAGAGAGAGAGAGAGAGAGAGAGAGAGAGAGAGAGAGAGTGGCCTGCCAGTGGATAAGAAGGATGGGAAGTAATATTCGTATTAGTAGCGACAGCGGCAGCAGCGGCGTCAGTAGCAACGGCAGTAGCAACAGGAATAGATGGAGATGGAGAAACAGGAAGAGACGGAGTATAACGTTGGCCATGTTGGTATCGCTACGAGGTGCATATACGCATGTGCATAGGCGCGTGCAAGGTAGTACGTAAGAGGTTGCGTGTGTCCGGGGTATATGGGCGGGCGATTGGACGGAGGTGCGAGGAGGAGAGGAAGGCTGTGTGAAAGAAGGAGGTGGAAGGAGAAGGAGGAGGAGGTGGAAGGAGGAGAGACGCAGAGAAAATGTCGGGCTTAGACTTCCCGTTATCGCCACGTCTAAGCAGCTGATAAAAGTCCGTGTGCCTATGGACAGATAACGCAAATAGCCTGTATAAAGAGTCACATAGATAGACTGATAAAGCACAGTTCACAGAACAGGTGAATGTCGGCCAGACCAACGCCCAAATCTCGCTGTGTGAAAATTCAAATATGCAATAACGCTCGTTGCAATTTATTCGGGCGCGCGTCTCTTGTTTTTCTTTTCTTTTCCTTTTTTTTTTCTTCACTTCGGCCACGAGTACAGTTACCAGCCAACGGCTTAGGGTGGACGCGTCCTTTTGTCGCTCGGACCGATCGATCGGCGTTTAACGTGACATCGTGAATACGGACTTTTGCTTAGAGGAAATGAGAGAGCGATTACACGTTGTACGGGGAAAAAAGTGTTTTTTTTTTTAATTATCTGTCTGATATATCTTTAGACAGGTCCGCGACGCAGTTCGTACTTGCGAGTCGGAGTGAAATCATGTAAATTATTTTTGGATCGGGCTATTTTTTTTAGGCTTGTACTTTGTTCTTGGGTTTTTCTTTATTTTTTGGATGTTTTATTTTTTTGATTTTTTTTTTTTAATCCCAATTCTCTTTCTCAATTCTTTCGCTTTTAGTCTACGTGGGTATTTAGCATCGGGCGACGCTCTCGGGGCTGTTTTTCACCCTTGTCCCGTTTACTTTCACGCTCGTTAAATTGTCTCCGGTTGAATCTACGAGTTTCTCAATCTTAATCGTTTCTCTGAGGATAGTTTAGAGAATTTTTGATCTTGTCATGGAGTCCGATCAATTCTGGGGTATTCACTACAGGTACTTGCCAGTTGGTTAGCTACCTTGGCTCTTCGCACTCTGCGATAGTCGATGACAGTTCGTTAGCGCATTGTTGAATAATATTATATTGATAATGGAAAAGGAAAATCTTATCAGGTTATTTAATTGTGTTATTGCAGCGGAGGCATGGCCGGGCAGCATTACTGCCTGCGCTGGAACAACTACCAGTCGAATATGACGTCCGTCTTTCATCAGCTCCTACAGACAGAGGCCTTCGTAGACGTGACCCTAGCCTGTAACGAAGCATCGTTAAAAGCGCACAAGGTAAAGATTATGATTTTGTAAAAATTTTTCAAAAAAAGAAAAAATATAAAAAAATGAACACTTCCATCTTTTTTTCCAAATTTGTCTACTTGTCAATCTTACTTCAGGTTATTATGCTTCTTCTCGTTTATCCAGGTCGTCTTGTCAGCATGCAGTTCCTATTTTCAAAAGTTATTGCTCTCCAATCCCTGCAAACATCCGACGATCATCATGCCGCAGGACGTGTGCTTCAATGATCTCAAGTTCATCATCGAATTTGTCTACAGAGGAGAGATCGACGTGTCCCAGGCAGAGCTTCAGGTAAGACGAAGTAATGATTCACCGAAATCATTACGACCTTTGTGACGAATTAACTCTTTCTTTTTTTACTCGAATTTTGAAAAATCTCGTATAGTCAGGCGAGCGATATTTCTTTCTCTTAGAAACGTAACAGTTTATTGATAACGAATCGGAAGCTGTTACCGACAGCGGAAGTCAATTAGCTGTCTGTCCGTACATCCGTTTCTCGTACCACTTTTAATATCCGTCAGCTCAGCGTCAACTCTCTTCTGGCGTTTCTGCACTTTTGTTACCGACGATACCCACGCCTCTGCCTTCTTTACCCTTACGCCTGAGATCCCGTCGGTAACCTACTCTCGGCAAGTAGGTTAGCCCGGATGCTGCGACAGTGGATAAGCCACGTGGACCAGCACCATTTATCCAGAAGACCATCCTGCACTTATCTATGGGGTTTTTCGAATTCCGCTAGTACGTCCTATATACCACCACATGATTCATTCCACGTTTCCTGTTCCCATTAAACGACCAATGGCCTTCTTCATCGCATATTGATCTTCTACTCGTAAATATTCATCTCCGACACGGAATCTTCCTTTTTTCATTTTTATATTGATTTTTTGAAGATTTTGTAATTTTTTTTTTTTTCCCCCTCAAGGACTCACGGCGTCTTGAAAACTGAGGATCATTTTTTTTGTATTGTCACTCGATGATTATCGTTCGACCGACTTGGACCGTCAGACTCCTTTCCTGGTGGTTACGAGCAGATCAATAAGAGACAGTCTTCGACCCCATCTCGTTAGGGGGTATTGTTTGGCAATCAGGCTACTCTGCACACTGTTGGTACGGCGGTTCTCGGTGGTCGTGAATTCAATCCGCGGGGTTGGCTTCATCGACCCTTGGGTTTGTAACGAGCCTATACGTTCGCTAGGAGGGTGACCAGTCGGAAGGGTTTGCCTGGAGTCATTAACTTTACCGAGCGTGTAATCCGAGTATAATTGCAGAACGAAATATCCCCGTAGGGATAAATACGAAAATTACGCAACACTTTGGATTTATTAATTGCGTCGCTCAAGTTCAGTTCGCTTATCATTTATCAGAGTTATATCGTAGCTTCGCTGCCGCTATCTGTTCTCTCGGTATACTTCTACACGAATCTCTCTCCGATTACGATGAAGAAAAAAAAAAAGATGCAAGGTACAAAACAAGCTTGTCTCTAGATACTACACCCGTCACTCGATTCTCGCGACGAAGAACACTCAAGGAATATCGTAAATTCAAAGTAACGATTATCGTGCACGAAAGAAAAAAGAAGAAACTCTGGACTAAAGACGGAATTCATTTTCGCGACCCGAGCAGGCAGCCTGGTTGTTTGCCAAACGGATTTTCCGTGGATTTTCCCCCTCTCTTTCGTCGCAGCCCACTGTTTGAGCTGCTGATTGAATATTTGCACCCACTTCCTATCTCTCCTCGGCCTATCGTACCGTATCCTCTCTCTCTCTCGGACTCTCCTTCCCTCCGCTCCCCTCGTCCCTCTCGTTTTGCGCGTACGCGAAAACACGCGCTCCTATTTAGGATGCCTCGAAGATTTGTTGCTTGGCCAATATATCCCTTCGGCTTCTTTCTTCTCGGTTCGTTTTCCTTTTCTTCGTTTCCGAAATCACTCTCGACGCTTTGCCTTCTCTTTATCTTCCTCCCTCTCCCTCTCATTCTTCTTCTCCATCGCCTCGTTCCTCGGAATACTTTGGCACGCGCTCCAAGATTGCAGCTATTCTCCATGCGCAAAATATATCCTCGCGATATTTTCGCGTGTCCCCTTTCACGCAGCATCCCAAAGGACCATAAATTTTTTGTTGGTAAAAAAGAAAAATTTCGATCTCCAAAATATTAATTCTCGATAACGTCCTTGACACGGAGTCCCCCTATCGGTACAGTTCGCTAAAAGGATGCTGCGTACCCTCAAGATTCATCTCGTACTTATCCCGTAGGTGCTCTCGGGCAATAACACGGGAATAGAAGAAGCAACGTCGTGACGCAGTTGAAGTTCGCCGATAAGGAAAGGTTAGGTCGTTCCCGCGGTAAAAGGCACAGAGACCCAGGAGACCGAGTTGAACATGGGTTTTGCTTTACACCTTGTTTCGCCGCGGGTGCGCGATCGTCTCCGGGTGAAAGAGACTGTGGCGGGTTGTCTTTCTCGCGAAATAAGGTCGAGAAGTAAAAGTCGAGCGTCTCTCTAAGGACGGAAGGATGAGAGAAAGCAAGGAACGGCACGCCGACCTCCTTTCGAGAGTTATCCCCGGATGGCGTTGCGAGCGGCGATAGGGGAGGGGCCGGTGGAAACGGGTGGGGACGGGCGGGGTGATCTACCGGGAGCCAGGCCCAAGCGAATTGGGGAATGGGCCCAAAGGAGGAAATATCGCCCGAGAACGAAGCAAGGAGGAGAGACGGAAGGAAAGGAAGAGAGACGAGAGAGAGAGAGAGAGAAACGCCTTCTCGAGTGACCCCGTTTGGATTTGACTGATCCTACACCTAGGAAGGCTCGAATCGAGACGCATCGGAGAAACTCAAACCCCGTCGTCCAGCTGGAAACTGGAACGAGTTAACTGTTCTTGGGAGAATCGGTTTCTGCGTCGCGCGCAGGAATGTCTGTGCTTGTATCAAGAATTTCCATTGCCGAGTGCCGTGTGGGTCTGGTTGAATTTTCTTGATATTTTTCCCTCTCTTTGTTCTCCCCCGGGGGGGGGGGGTCCTACAACAATAACGAAGATAACCCTTCTCCCGTCGACAGATCAAATCGCCGATTTACCCAGCGGACCCACCACCGGCTGCTGCTGCGGTCAGCCCGGTGTTGCCAAATTGCAGCCTCGGACAAAAGTAATCGAGTGACGGCTGTCGGGTCCGATCGGCGCGTGGAAGTTGAATCGACCTGTAGAAAGTGGCACCGGCGAGTAGCAGACACAGTCGTGTGTAACGGATGCATAGTTATAGCTGAGACCCGAGCGAAGGAATGTATTTTGTCCGGTGACTGTACACAGAACGTGGTTTCTGCAGTCGAGCGGCCCCTCGATCATGTATGCGTAGACGGTAGACGCGACAACCAGTGCGTGTGCGTGCCGACTGGAGCCGCAGATTCTCTTTGTCCGCGCGCAAGCTCTGCTGCCTCGACTCTCCGCTCCTCTGTCTCACTCTCTCTCTCTCTCTCTCTCGCACCCGTGCGCTCGGCCTCTGTCTCCTTCTCTGTCGGTGTCTCGTAGCACTCGTAGCCGTCTACCCGCGTAGCAGCAGCAGCGGCGGCCCAGCCGCCTAGCCAGAATCGGTCTACGTGTCTCGCACTCGTTAGTCGCTCAGCCGTTCACATCGGTCTCTCCCTTTTGGACTTCCATAGTCGGCCGGCCGGCTGACTGGCTGCCTCTCTGACTCTCTTTCTCTTTCTCCCGCGCGGATCGGTTCGGGCGCGCCCGACGGCAACGTCACCCCTCTCCCTCCCTCCCCGCCCGTCGGCGTTCCCGCCACGCTTGCCTCTTACCAAATACACAGAGCGGCTGGCTACCACCTCCACGCATCCCCCTCGGGTTCCCGCTACTGCTCCGCCGTCTCACCACTCTGCACGTGCACTTGCACGTAGGCTCTGGACATACGTACGTGTCCACGCTGCCGAGAGACTCCTCTCTCGTTAATCTCTTGCTCGCACTGTACCCCCGAGCCGGTACCCCCACTCTGCCCGCCGCGCCGACCGTCTACTCGGCTCTCCTGCGCTAGTAGGCACCCGGTCTTCGTGCGTGTGTCGCACGTCCGTGTTTTCGCCGTCTCTTTCTTTCTATCGTCATAGACCTTGCTGCGGGGTGGGAGTAAGAGAGATGGAGAGAGAGAGGGAGACTTCGGTACGCGGGTTCGCGCCACGAGGACATTTTCGTATGTCACTCGGGAGGGATCGATTGTCTCTCGGTCAAAAATTGAGTAACAATACGGGGAACCGAGTGGAATCGTATTCCCTGTGTATATTTGCTTAACGCGGCTTCACGAGGAACTGCGCCTCGTATATATAGATTCGCGTGGAATTTCGTACTCTCGATCGCGAATCGAGGATTAATCGGCAAAAGGTGACTTCCCTCGAGAGGCTTAGCAAGTGGCTGGAAGAGAAGTATAAGGGAATGAAAGGGACTTGAGAGATGGTGAGCGTTATAGGTATGAGGGAGGAGAGACAGAGAGAGAGAGAGAGAGAGAGAGAGACCCCTTTTCGAGGTTGTCTTCTATGTCGAGCCTGAGTTTCCATAGATCGATCCTCTCTGTCGGGCGCATACCTTTCGGTTTCGAGGTTCCTCACCTCTGTCCCCTCCCGCTCCTCCCCCTCTCACCCTTCCTAGCTCCTCAGCCCTGAACCCTCAGCCCTCAATACTGACTCTCGTCTCCCTCCGAATCGTTCCTCCTCTTTTAGGGAGTCTCTCTCTCTCTCTCTCTCTCTCTCTCTCTCTCTCTCGATCCCAATGTCACTCCATAGGCTGAATATCCAGCCATCTGCCTCAGTACCTCATCGTCCTAACTCTCAGCCTCTCCAGGCTCTCTCTCTCTCTCTCTCTGACCGGCGAGCGGGTCTCTCTCGCCAGCTCCCTCACGCCCGTATTCGTATTCTGTTCTGTTTCGCGTCGAGCATCCCTCGAGTCTCTTCCTCGTCGCAGCGCCTGATTCTGGGCGTCCTTGTCGGTCGCGCCGGCGAATTTCATCGCGTCCTCCTTCGCCGGCGTCTCTCCTCGCTCCGCCACCACCACCACCACCACCACCACCACCACCAGCATCACTGCAAGCAGCAGTGGCGGCGCTACCTCCTCCTCCAGCGGCTCCTCCGCTGCCTCTCCTGGTCCTCCTGGCGTGCTCTGCCTCCTCCGCTCTCCTCCACCACCTTGTCCTCGTACTCTGCTGCCGGCGCTCCGCGCCACTCGGCGTCCTCCGATGCGCGCCCTCCACGAACGCCGCCGAATGCCATTTCACTTTCGTTGGGCTTCGCCGCGGAGGAGAGCGGGCCCTGCCACGAATTATCATCCTCCCGTTCCTCGTGATCTTCTTCTTCTTCTTCTTCCTCCTCCTCCTCCTCCTCCTCCTCCTCCTCTTCTTCTTCTTTTTCCTCTTCTTCGTACAACGCCACTCAGCCTCCGTGTTGATATCCCGGTGCTCGCGCGTCGTGACGACCCACGTTCGGAATACGTACTTCCTCTTCGGCCAGGACCATCAGGTGAGTGATAATCCTTAAGGTCCCCTAAGATTCACCCGTTGCGAATCCTCGCTCGCGTCCCTTTGTCCAATTCATACGATTCGCGCGTGGCTCTCTTTGTAGTCGACAAACCGACTTCCCGACGATGCTCACAGTTCGTTCACCTCGTGTCGAAAACTCGGGCTAACTTACCGCGTATCCAGGACGGTTTTTTTTTTTTTCTTTTTTTTTTTTTACAAGGCGTTCACCGTGGCTCGTCTTGCGCGCGGGTTAAATTGCGTACTCGTGTACTCGCTACGCACCCGGTTATCGGAGGCTGCGACGTCCTGTGCTCTTCCGGTGGGAATCTCGCTCGGTGACTTCCGCTCCCTCTTGGAATTCAAGGCTGCCTTACCTCCCCGCTGCGATCAGGGTTGAATCAGTGCCGAAGAAATACGGTGAGTGGGAGCGAGAAGGGACGTGGACGCGAAAGAGAACGCACGGAAAGGATTTCCCTCGCCGGAAGTTCCCCTCGTTGCACCTTGATTCCTCGTGGGATCCACCCATGTGTCTCTTTTTCGGGACTTCCGAAGCCGGCTAGGCTGCGTACGCGCTACCTGCGGTCTTTCCGTCGGAATTTGGGTCTTGCTCGGCCAGTTCAGGTTGTCCCATCCAGTAGGTTTTGCATTGCTTTAGGCTCTTTCCTCTTTGTGCGAATATTCGAATCTTCCGCGGGCGGGACGATCGGTGGGTCGGCCGGGTGATGGAGAAAACGTGGTCTTGTAAGAGCCCTTAGCTACGTCTGCATGGAGCAAGTTGGTCACGCGTTATCAGGCTCCCCTAACTCGCATTCGTAAACATCCGACCAGCACGTCGATAGCCTCGCCAAATCTCGTCTACTTGGAACTAAAGACGCGAGCGTCGTTCGGACGGGATCTATGGGGAACAGCCGTCAAATTTATCGCGTAAATTTTTCACGTCCTTCGGCCACTGAATCGTCAAACTGCAGATGGACAACTCGCGCCTTTTTATTCGTGCCCCTTAATAAACGTCACCGGCTGTATCTCGTGTTGGCTTAGAAAGACATTTTCTAGTAAAAAATGTCACGTGGCATTCCTTGAGATCATTAGAGTTTTCGACTGGGCACGACCATTCGAATATCCTGAAGCGATTGACGTGTATCGGGTCTTTAAACAGAAGGTGGCACTGATAATACGAGCAACAATTTTTATGAAAATAACGTACCGGGAGCGTCTTTCCAAAAATTTCATACAAAATTCCAGACCCTTCCCCATCTTCGTTGAATGTCTATGGCAAAAAAAAAAACAAAACGAAATTCAGGAATGCTCAGGTCTCGAGAAATAAATGTTCTCAGTGTCCCATGCAAATAGGGAAAATATCCTGAGGAACGTTCCTTTTACGTATTCGAAGCTCACCCTTGACCCCATCAACGAACTTTTTATATACGCACTTTTGCATTCGAGAACTTCTCCAGTTCTGTTTGTATTGCTGTGAGATTTCGAAGGACGGTCGGGGAAGATGAGTGTACTGCATGAGAGAGAGAGAGAGAGAGAGAGAGAGAGAGAGAGAGAAAGGGGATGAGAAGGTAGAAAGAAAGAAGCACGTGGCGGCCGGGGTCGCGCTCCCATTCAGCAGAAAGGAGGTTATAGTAGAGAGAAGTAAGGTTATGTTATGTTCGCGTCGCCCGTTACATTATCAATTCCGTTATGTCGCTGTATTCGTAATAGTGGAGAGTCGACCCTCGCACGCTCTACTATCATTCTGAATTCCTCTTCGTACTCCATTTACTTCTATTTCTCCTTACCTCCCTTCCAACCCCCTTCTGCACTCCACTTCGTCTTCCCCGTCCTTGGCTGCTCAGTCGGCACTTGCTACCTACGTATATCTGTTATGTATATATATATATATATATATATATATCACATAGAAATTGCCTTGAAGATTCTTTCTTCCGTCTTTTCTCGAGGATCCCCAGCCTTCCCGACGTCAACCCCCCTCCCCCCTTCTCACCCCTAACCCACAAAGCCCAGTTGAGTCTACTCCGCTTCCTTCCTGAATTCTACGGATTTACACCTGTTGGACTTACTGGGGTATCGGGCTCCTTGGCACTTTGTAGAATCCCGGCAGTTGCTTTGTAATATTTTGATCGTTTGGCTCGTACCGCGCGTGGATTTTATTCGAAGGTTCTTAGGAGAAACGATGGACGAAGGAGTTCGTTGGTACAGGCGCAAGATGGCGAAGCGATCGGAAGTGGGATTTACGCGTGAATTTTGTTTTGTTTTCTTTTCTATTTTCGTTCTTGCCAATTAGTCAAAGATAATTGGTTGGGCGATGCCCTTGAATCCCCTCGGTATTGATTGGGTGAGGTTGAATTCTACTAGTGGACTTTTCCCAGTGTGCTCGCGACCACAGAGGAGAAAGCCCTTGCACCCTTTGCGCGGGGAATTATTATGAACTTTCTTTTCATTCCTGCAATATCTTATTTATCGTACAGGGAGGTTGTACGAGTTTCTATGCAGATTATTTTTCTCTTATTCCCAGACGACTAACTCGGTTTCATCTGTGTCAAGGGGTTGGGTGCCTTTTGCACCCGGGAGAATTGTTTACGATGTTTACAATACTTGCTTCGTACTCTTCTTGGTACTAATCCCCAGGAAGGGCCAAAGCGTTGAGTTTTATGGATCGGTAGAGGGTGACGCCACTGGCGACGTCGCCGGTGAAGTTGCCCGTGGCAGCGGGGTGGGCTGTGGAGTCGAAAAGGGGTTGAAAAATTAATTTGAAGCCGCGACGGGAAATCGTAGATCCCACCGGCAGGGTGAGTAGCCGGCCCTGGCGTCGGCGAGTGACATGGAAAAAAAAAAGAAAAATAATAATAACGGTACCCGAGTGAAATAGGTGGATCGGTAAATATGAATATATATAAAGACGGCATAGGGTGGGAACCAATATAAATTGCAGGTACGTACAATACGCACGGCCGTCGTTACTTTTCGGGGTTGCTGTACAACCGTACGATGGACCCCGTCACCCTCCTGAACCTTCGAGTCGGGATGCTGGTTTCCGAAGCGCCGAATTGTTTCCGCGTTTTGTGCGCCGATGTACGTGCGTAGACCGTACAAGTCAGTGCCGTCGAGGAGTCAGGGGTTTGGGGTGGTCGATACGGCCCTGGGGCCGCGACAGCCGCGTCGGAGGCCATCCCACCCCTACCGTTCGTCCTGCGGGCGTTTTTGCCATCTCCAACAGCACCCACCCACCCTCTGCCCACCTCAGCCTATCTACCTACGTACTTTGCCTGGCTGCCTACCTTCCTTCCTTGCTTCCGCCCCGACCACCCCCCGACTCCCGCGGGTTGCCAAACCACCCTTCAACCCCGTTTCGGTATGGAGCCAGCCACGCCGAGTACACCGTCAGCCAACCCCTTGCCCCCGACGTCGCCTAATCGCGCCACCCCGTGCTTGATTAAAGAACAGAGCCGCTCGGCTGCTGCAAGAGGAGGGTTTGGTCCTATCGGCTGCTGGATCACGTTCTCTTTCCCTTCGTACACTTCAATTCCTCTTGTCCTTAACGTTCCTTCTCACGCTCCCTCCACCTTCATTCGCTACCGGTACAAGAACGGAAACGGAAGTGCCTTTGTCAAGGATACACAGTCATGCCTGACTGATACCAGATGAAACACCCCTTCCGTCCCTTTGACCCCGTCTCCTCGTTACCGTCATCAATTCCTTCGCGCCACTATTCGACAGCCAGGAGCCAGAGCCTCCTGCAAGACCATGAGCTTGCTTCGAAGGACGCGTTGACGTCGGAGCGTCTGGACTTCAGACGGTAATGTCTCTTCCGGTGCTCTCCGACGTCCGAAGCCCGTAGCTCTTGAGGAGCTCGTACGGGTGTAGAAAGAGAGTGGTCCAGTGGCGGAGGCATATGGAGGATGCAGGAAGTATAGGTAGCTAGTGTGTAGAGTCGGCGCATAATATAGGAACTCAAAGCGGACAGACGTTACAGACGGGTAGGCGTAAAAGACATCCGACAGACACGGCTAACCCGTACCTAGTCCGATGTCTCATTTATGAAGTTGTCCCTCTGTGCAGTCCCTGCTCAAGACAGCCGACCAGCTGAAGATCAAGGGGCTCTGCGAAGTGCCAGAGAGCAAGGACGGTCCACCATCGGTCAGTCTGAGCTCACCAGGTATAGAGCCAGGCACACCGCGGCTCAACTACACCAAACTGAAGAGGCACCATCCCAGGTACAAGAGACCCAGGTTCGAGCCCCGAACCGACTCCAGGCACTACGAGCAGTATAAAGAGGAAGAGGCCACCGAGGCCTTCGGTCGTGACGATAAGGAGGTACGTTTCTTTAACATGGACCCAAGACCAATGTTTACGTCCCGTGCACGTAGAGGGAAGTTATTTGCTCTCACGACTGTCCTATTTGCTTTCGCAGAATCACAGAGGCTGGCAGACCGAGGATGAGGAGTGCGCGGAGGCCGCAGTAGTCCTGGAGTCCTGCCAACGTGACAACAACAACGGTAACAGTACAAATAACAATAACGGTAAGCCAATCGGACGGTACTGCGGGCCCCACACCTGAATTCATCTCTTCATGTTCATGCTTACCCTTTAGTTACATATATATACCATTTTTTTTTTATATTTTTTTTCTTGGATCTCCACTTTCATTTTCATTCCTCGATCACTTTTCCTTACTCGTTCGTTGTCGGAGCAGCATCTTTCTTCGTCTCTCGTTTCCTGTCCTACGGATCTCCGGTCGCTCGTACTATTCTCTTCCGATCTTTCCGTTTCTTCTAGTCTCGTTCGTTCTTATTCGTTTTCGGCCGGACAGACTGTGTCATTAACTTCCGTAAGACGTAACGTAAAGTTAAAGAGGCTAGCCGAGGTCTCCGATGTATATATATATATATATATATATATTCATATACATATATATATATATATACATATACATATATATATATATATACATTCATTTTTTTCTTTTTCATTTATTAAGGAAACTAGTCGCGTTTAATCCCATTACGAAAATTCCCAATGACCTAACAGTCCGAGGATGTCGACGATGAGTGACGACGATAACGATCATGAGACGCTAGAGTAGGAACGATCGACCCTGTAAAACGGGAGGATCAGGAGGACTATCGGGGTCGACCAGGTGTGGGGCGACTAAGAATAACGGGGCGCGGGACAGATCTTTTCACTTTGAATAAAGGTGACATGTTTTGTCACACAGGGTTAGGTCACTACGGTCATCATCCGGACCCGGGAGAGGTCGATCTGCCCCCTGAGACTCAGCCCACACCCCCCAGCGCTACTTTAGTTGGCACCACGATCACCCACCTGAGAGATCCCGATCATCACTCGACAGGTACGGATCGCCAGACCGAGTCGCGCTTACCTACCGGCTGGTTGGCAGGCAGGCAAGGTGAAGGCTCCCTGGACTCGTACCGTCGCTCTCGCCTCTGTTCTTCATCTTCCTCCTCTTCTCCCGGTTCTTCGTCTCTAACCCGTTTTCCTGGCTCTCATCCCGGATCCTCGATTTAACGTCGTGCCAATTCTCTCAGTGATCTTCCATCGGACCTCAATCCTAATTCAATCATAGCCGATTCACCGAATCTCATTACCCTTCTAACCCTGTATCCTATTATCGAGCCTTGACTATTATGGCCATGATCCTCCGAGCACTGTTCAGCATCTTCTTCCGGTCGTACATTCTCCTCGTTACGCGATCTACGAACCATCCCGT